ATAATATAAATTCTGACAAAACACTGATTGTAGTATCATTTATCCTTGTAAACGGAAACTGCTTTTTGAATCCTCTCATTTATTTTTTCAAAATACAAGAGATCAGAAACGCTCTTAAACAGTTGTTCTCCAGAAACTCTGAATAACTCTGTACCACACTAAATAAGTCGCCAAAATTTACCTCAATGTCGTATGCCTTTTCAAATATTTCTCATTAATTCGTTCAAATAATGGTTCAAAATACACAGCGAAATGACCGAGTATGCTTCTTTCCTTCATAATTTTTCACTAGTAATCTTATATGAGCGCGGGGTAAAATAATGTTTACGGTAATTATTTATGATAATAAACCCGAATTCCTCCACCCCTTCCCCATCACTACCATTTCCTCAAACAAAAGTAAGTTTATTTTTGTAAATATTATTTTTAAAAGTAATTGTGAGTTTGTGACTATTTTTGTGTACTTTTGTCATTGCATTTCTTAATAAATTATTTGTTCTGTCAGTATCTTTTTCATATTTAATATGTTTAACAAGAAACATTCCTGTGGTCATTATGATTAAAAAATTAGAGTCTCCTTATTACAATCAAATACTTTTTATTTAAAACATGCAGGATGGAGGGGTGTTGCTAAAACTCGGAACGGAAAACGGAACGGAAAGCGGAACGGAACGGAAAACGGAAAATAAATGTCAAGCAAATAACCTTGATTCGATATAAATCAGTCATAAAAAGTATTATTCATGATATGAAAGTCATATATTATAATAATGAAAAATTATCAGAAAATATGATATATTCATGAATCATGCGCCCCTCAGAACTTGCACATGTACATGCGATGGTCAATGAAATAGGTCAATGAAATACATATTGTGATAGATTTACTAACTAGACTCAAGTCCTGAGTATCAATCTGTGAAACCTTTCGTTCAAATTATTTTTTTAAGAATGCTCATTTATAAACAAAAATCTTGTTCTGAAATAGGTTGCATGAAAAAAGACTACTAATAAGTATTATACGTGTATCAGTAAAGAAAAAAGAACTAGTTTTGACATTCAGATTATGCATGTATTGGCGAACCCAGGAATCTTGAAAAGGAGGGCAGCTAAGGTCGGAGTAGGTGCCCTCAGTCACACAAGAAATTGATTTATTTATTGAATCTTATTTATAATATGGTCACAAAAAGAAGAGGAGTCCTGGTCCCCTTTAAATCCATGAGTGGCATGATATGCAAATTAAGAAATTTAAATATGAATTTATAGCTATAGCTATAAAGTATAAGAAAACATTTCTTGCAAAGGAATTTAATAGGATGTTTATTTTTTCCCTTTAATTGCAACTTTTCAGACCTGAGCGGAAAAACAAACTCTAAATGTTTTACGGCCGGGATCACACCCCCTTCCAAAAAATCACTTTAACTTTATTGAATGTAAAGATGATACATTAATTTAATTTACTACAGTTACGATTTACAACTCTATCTATCCAAGAATATAATTGACAGGAAGCGATTTTATTTTGTATAAAATTTAACAACCAATCGAAGTGTTTATCCGGGCTTGCCGGAAAGGGGTGCCGTAATGGTAATCTTAAGATTTTTTTTACTTTTTATTTTTTACCAATTACCATTATTCATTTAGATACCAAATATTGCCCCCCCCCCTCAACTGTTTACCAAATATAACCTTTTAACTATAGAAATGTTTATTGAAACCCCCAACACTTTCTGTCTGTTAAATTAATGTAGTAAGTTGGTGTAAAAAATAGTACTGAATGAAATTGGAGTTGGAATTTATCCTCAATTATCTTTTTTCGCTTGTCAAGTTCGACTTTTTTCTCTGCCCCCCCCCCCCCTTTCAAAAGCGATGCTATGTCACTACTATGTCAGCGGTTTTCGTAAGAGATCTAGACTTAACATGACTAAATCAACTTGTATTTTTTAAGGAGTGATTTAATATGTATAACATACATCGTTTCTGAGAAAATTTATGTATTTTAAATGATTTAATCAAAAATAATATTTTCCGTTTTCCTTTCCGTTCCGTTTTCCGTTCCGCGTTTTAGCAACACCCAGGATGGAGGTGGTTTTAATATATTTATTAAAATATCGATGTTTATTCCGTGTCTTCCATAATGGCACCTGGAGTAATTATATACTGGTATCTTCGCTGCAGACTCGTCTGCAGCATAACAGGTCCATGACGCACATTGCCACAACTACAATGTATTAGTCATTTCATTCTTCATAATTGGATTTCCTTTTATGATTTCCCTCTTCTTTTATTACACGTTAATATAATGTATTTTCTCTATCGACATTAAAGCAAAAGAGGCATAAAACTGATGAGGAACAAATCAAGAGGGTAAAAATGAGAAGGTGAGTGTTGTTTTCCAAAGGCCTCTAACTTTATTGGACCTCATTAAAACTCACAAAGATGGCCTGTAGTGCTCTTACTTTCAGTACTCAAGATACACTTCATATTTTTCTATCCAATATTTTTAGGGAAACACAAACTAAATATATATATTTATAACATATTTTATATTCAGCAGTGATGCGCTGTGATTAATTTAATAAAAATGACATTTTGTCAAAGTGTGAAAGGATATATACCAAAACGATATTCTATTATCTAAAATAATAATAGTTTTAGTGTGAAGAAGAACTAAAAATAATTGTAGCAAGACAATTTTAGTTATTTTCACACTAAAACCCTACCCAGTCTTGCATTGATGTTCTATGCAGGATCGATGTACACTGCCAGTAAATTGTTTAAAGTTGGATTTTGTCATAATTAAACCTTTCTCTCTAAAGCGTTTCTTAGACTCTCTTACAGGTGCGGTCAGGAAAATCTTCAGTGCGCAAACTACATAAAACCGGGAGTAAAATCACTTTTCCCCCGATATATGTCAAAAGTCAGAGGGTTTGAGAACCCTTTATTGATATTTTTTTTTAAATAATGTACATGTATTATGTTCAATGTCAGATATTGGTTATTGCTAATCAAACACTTATAACTATTTTTAGATACTCGTATAGATTTTAATCTATTAAAATGATTAGAATTTCATAATTAGTACCGGTATATTAGGGAGACATACGTACCCATTTAAGTGTTTCTGTGATTATATCTATTGGTATTACCGGTGTGTTTATATTCATTTTACTCCTAATTACATTTTGTAATGCCCTGTTCACACGGAGAGTTCAATTCGAATTAAACGTAAGTTTACTGCGAATTAGCTTCGCTTAGCGTTCACACGGAGAATTTAATGCGAATTAGTTTACTGCGCATTAAATTATTTCGCATTAGCTCCGTGTGAACGCTAAGCGAAGCTAATTCGAATTAAATTTTGGGGCATGCATAATGGCTAAATTAAGTCAAATGCGTAATGTCGGTGGTCAGCTTTAAGTACTTGTGCTATTTTTAAGTGAAAAACTAAGAAAAAATGTGTTAATCACTAAAATATGTCTCCAGACACTGTGACATTATAATGTCAAATGCATCTGCTTATGCATAAGGTGACGCAATTTGCAAATGACGTCATAATAGCCTTACTGACGCCCGACTGCCGAAGTAGAATTTTACTTCGCATTAGCTGTCGTGTGAACGCAATTTACTTCGCATTAGTTTAATTCGCATAAGTTTACTTCGCATTAATTAATGCCCTGTTCACATGACGAGTTTAATTCGCAGTAAATTAATGCGAAGTAAACTTATGCGAATCAAACTAATGCGAATTAAATTACGTTCACACGACAGCTAATGCGAAGTAAACTAATGCGAATTAAAATTTTACTTCGACAGTCAGGCGTGAGGAAGGCTATTATGACGTCATTAGCAAATCAAGTCACCTTATGCAGAAGCAGATGCATTTGACAGAATGCCACAGTGTCTGTAGACATATTTTAGTGATTAACACATTTTTTCTTAGTTTTTCACTCAAAAATAGCACAAGCACTTAAAGCTGAAAACCGTCATGACGAATTTGACCTAATTTTGCCATTACGCGTGCCCCAAAATTTAATTCGAATTAGCTTCGCTTAGCGTTCACACGTAGCTAATGCGAAGTAATTTAATGCGCAGTAAACTAATTCGAAGTAAACTAATTCGCATTAAATTCTCCGTGTGAACGCTAAGCGAAGCTAATTCGCAGTAAACTTACGTTTAATTCGAATTAAACTCTCCGTGTGAACAGGGCATTACTGCGAATTAAACTTGTCGTGTGAACAGGGCATAAGTCTCCTGCTTAGCGCAGTGACAATGGCTTCTGCTCTAGAGTCTAGAAGTAAGGAGTTGATACTTACTTCGCAGGTTCGATCCCCATGGGACATGGAGACCGGTTTTTGGATGAGACTGTATGTACTTTAACTGAGGTCCCGTGTCGCAGTATATTTTGGCACGAAAAAGATCTCTCATAGTCCGAAAAATCTTACGTTTCCTGGCTTTTTTACGATTTTGATATTTTACATGCCAGGAAAACGTCAGAACCGGCGCCATTACGAAAACTGGAAATTTCGCCGTCTTCAAATAAAGTTGATTTTCGATACTTGTGAACCGAACTAAATGCCGAAATCAGAATTAATCAAAAGCACAATGCCTCTAGTAATCACCAATATCGATGAAAAGAAAATGTCACTCCACATTTCGTAACAGGACTTGCAAGATTTTAAAATGCACGAATGAAGACAAACCTCGACAGTGTGGTAAAATCTTTTTCAACTGAGTATTTATTTCATAAATAAAACCATAAAAACTATATTGGTAAGTTTTTTAAGTATGTACTATTCATACCTTGTTACTTTGACATGTAGATAAGTTCGCAAGTATCTAAAATCAACTCGAGAATGCCGTCTCCGGTTGGAGACGGCGATTTTCCAGTTAACGTAATGGCACCGGTTCTGACGTTTTCCTGGCATGTAAAATATCAAAATCGTGAAAAAGCCAGGAAAATGTCAGATTTTTCGGACTAGATCTCTCACTGCTCAAAGGCCATGAGTGCCGAGTATAGGAAAAATTTAAAGCTCTCCATCAGCAAGTTAACGTAAAAGTGAAAAATTCTTCTCGAGAAGGACGTTAAAAAAAGAACACAAAATTTTTTCGTCCATTTCTTTGCCATTGAAAAATACAAATATATGAATAAAGAGAGATAAACATGCATAAAAGAATTATATTAATATTTTGAAGGATAAAAAACGGAAAAAAAATGTTACAGACGAAGATAAACACTAGAGATTGATCTATTATAAAAATCTGAAAATAATACTAATTAGACCGAGTGCATAAAAAGATACCCCTGGAATTCCAGTGATGTGATCAGGTATTTAAGAAAAGTATGCATTCCCTCTAGAGTGGTCTGTCATGAGCTCTAGTACTGTGCAGGTAGATAGCAGGTTAAAAAACCTATACTGTTCATAGTTGAACCTTATCGTCTATAGTCCTATAGTCACATTTAGTAAAACACATGGAGACGCCGCCATGACAAAGTTGCAAATGAGATCTGCAATTAAAGTACACACCTGCACCCACTACTTAGGGACCTAGAGCAGTGGAGAATAATATTCGTGGAAGCATCTACTGCGATAAGGGGTATCGGCTTTGTATGGATCCATCCGATATACCGGTCTTCACGTCGAACAGTAGATTTAAACCAGGATATTAGCATCAATTCCTTACGCCATGACTATAAAGCAAACAATACAACCGGTGCACAAATTGGATGACTATTAGCCGGTGAGGGAGTGTTGCAGATGCTGTCTTTATCTTACCGCTTATTGAACAGCCAATTAGTCTAAACTCTAAGTGTCTCGATACGTTGTAAGCAAAAAGAACTCGTAAGTAGTCACAAAGTAGGATACTCCAGCGAAGAGAAGGAAACTGTCATGCTTTATTCAACTTGGATATGATTTTTCCTTTAATGACTAAAATTGAGATTCATGCATGTACATTTACTTGTTGCCTGATCTGACAAAATTAGACCTGATGGTCATTTTACTTTTTTTCCTTACATTTTTACTTTTCTTGTAAGGTACATACATGCATGTCTGTTACAGCTATAAACTTCAAGGTTGACGTTTAGAAAATTAAGAAACCTAAGCAATGTGTTACATGTACAAGATAAAAAGAAGAATTGAAAAGCTTGAGCAATTTATTAACTAACACAACGATAAGTTTGACAATTTGGATTATATTTATATTATTATAAGAGAAAAGGGAAACTTCTTTTTGTCCGAAAAGTTTGAATTTAAATCAACACAGTAATACTACAATGTATTTCAACTTATCGCTTTCCAAATAATGCAAATGGTATACACTCTCTCACTCTAACATGCAATTTTAACTTTCAATTTAAATATGGTAGCACAAAAATATCGTACCATGATAAAAATTACGTTAAAGAAATAAGTAAATCGTTATGTTGCATAATTTTTCAGTATGTTTGTTTTATTATTTAGAACAAACAACACACATTAATACTTTTTTACCATCATAAGGTGGACATTTCAGAACATCACATACAGCCTCAACATGAGACAAAGCATTGTTAGTCTTTGGATACCTTGGACTGGGTAGTTTGTCTGCGTGTTTGTCTACACATACATATGATGTAGCAGCCATAAGGTATCCTTGGTACTCCAGTCGCCAGCCTTTATAACAAGTCTTCCTTGCTGTAAAATAGGCATAAAAAATAAGTAGAGATCTTCCTCCCCAATTGTATGGGAATAGTCTTTAAAACGGTCGGATGGTCCCCGACTGATTTATTTTTTCTCGCAATTTAAAGAGAAAGGGGACCCAGGAAATGGTGTTTCCAATATTGTTTTTATTTGTTTTTTGTTTTGTTCGTCAACGTTCTTGAGGCACTTTTTTCTCTTTTTTTTTCTCCGAATATTTGTGAGCTTCCGGAACATTGATATTGAAATATGCCTACATCGGTGATTTCTCTGAGTGTTTATCTTATTATTGTTATTTGCTTTAACAGTGAAGTTCCCCAGTTTATTTTGTCCGCTGAAAGTTGGGGATTAAGTTATTAGCTATGTCTAGTTATTACCTGTCTGTCTGTCCGTATGTCCGTATGTCTGTATGTCTGTAACTCGTTCTTTTCCAAGCGATATCTCAAGAAGCCTCCAACTTTTTTCGGTCTGTCTAGTTACCTGTCTGTCTGTCCGTATGTCTGTATTTCTGTATGTCTGTAACTCGTTCTTTTCCAAGCGATATCTCAAGAAGCCTCCAATTTTTTTCGGTCTGTCTAGTTACCTGTCTGTCTGTCCGTATGTCTGTATTTCTGTATGTCTGTAACTCGTTCTTTTCCAAGCGATATCTCAAGAAGCCAATTTCTGTGATGGTCGAGGGGAATGATTCTCGCTTTCAGCTATTGTTGATATTGTTGACCTGGACTGATACATAATGTCACAGTTTAATGAAAAAGGACATTTTCTATATACATGTACCAGTGAAGTTCTATAGTTTTTTTTATTTTGTCCTAATAAGTAGTATTTCTGACTTTTTCTTCTTCTTATTTTTTGGTTACTTAAAAAAAATTTATTGTAATATGTTTCTCACCTGGAAATACTTTTGTTATAGATCTATTTTTAACCAAACAAACAGCACAGGGAACACCCTGATCTTTATACGAATACTTGTAAGTTGCACCATAAAGGTTGGCTCCCCAGTTAGATTGTCTATCCAGATAATTCAATTTGATCCCCCACTCCGGGTCTTTTGGTATACAAATAGTTTCCACATTCACAAGTCTGTTGGAAGGATATGACCCTGCAGCAAATCCTGAAATATATAAACAATTATTGTAATTTTTTAACAACTTTCAAAATGATTTACCCTTCCACCTTTTGTTGCAGAAGAATTCAAAGCGAAAAATCGTTCTACTGTCTTAATTATTTGAAAGCAATTGTATCGAGAATGACGAATTTCATTTACCAGAAAACACTAACTCTGCATCAGAGGGACACTTTTTCTTCCCCCATCTTGTGTAAACACTTCTTTTCTTTCTCTCATCTGCCAAAATAAGGTCTCAAATAAACAAAAATGGACGTATCATTATCTCTTTATTTGAAATACTATTAACTTAAAAGAAAGACGTCATTGAAATGACATGTATATCTTATTATACACAATACCTTCTGTTCTGAGACCTGCATTAACCCGTCCCTCTAATTTTTTCACAGATTTCTCAATAACATCTGTGAACCTTCTGAATTCCTGCTTGAGAGATTCTATCTCTAAAGCAGAAGAAAGTTGTCCTGTAAGGTAGCCCTGTAACAATCTTTTACAAGTTCCGACCTGTGTGTTTCCCTCTACTGTGTGAAGAAGCAACAAAATGAAGAAGAAAAGTCCAATCATCTGCGGAATAAAATAATAATGAGATTATTTAAATAAATATTTTTTTACTTTGTACAAAAGACCGATTTTTTCGTTATTTCTCGTTCATGATTGCGTTTGTGACCGGTTGACAGGGGATGCTCACTTCTCCATTGCACCCGATCCCGCCTCACATGTTTTAGAGGTCCGTGTTTTCTCTGCACCAAATTTGTATTATTTATGTGGACATTTGAACTTGAATACTGTTAGTTATTAATTTTCTTTTCATGTTTATTTCTGGTTTAGGAATCTTAATTAATGTCATAGACCAATAAAGACAAGCATTTTTACAAATAAAAAGAAGGTCTAGAAAATGATTTTAGACAGATTTAAATGCCATTTATAACATCAAATTGCAAAGTTACGTACGTTTACTTAAACTGTGTAGCTACCATTTAAACCTTCATACAGAATATAGCTTTTCCATGGAATTGTAAAAAGTAACCTGATTATTAACAATGATCTTTTATTATTTTTAGGAAAATTTAAAACTTAAAAAATAAAGGTCTAAAACAAACTAGTTTTGTGCACTTTTAACCGTCAAATAATGTCTTATTACTCTATACATATAAAGCCAAGATATCGTTCGCAATTGAGGATCAAATGAATGAATTCATTTCTCAAATTTTGGAAACTTATAGCCTTCTTTCATTTACCTGATCTTGAGCTTAATATGTTTATGTCTTGGTTATGACTTATAGATCCATTAATATAATTAATATAGAGTGTAAATAAATAGATCCTGATAGCAATGTTTACTTTCATTGTGTTCATTCTTGATTATTTAAAACTAAATAAATTAGTTTGCAGTTTCCTTACCTTCAATTACTCTTTAAATTTGAAATATATTTAAAGTAGGAATATGTTATATATATAATATAAAGTATTCTATATATAACATGTACATGTATCATAATAAAGAGTGAATCGAATATTATAAATGCAAACTACTCGTTTTCCAGATGCATCACGGAGATATTAGATTTAAATGTAATGTTGCACCATACAGACATAGTACTCTCCTATAAAATTGGGTTTTAACGTCATATAACGCGGTGTTTAAAAAAATGAAAAAATTTATTTCTTTCATTTATATAAAGGAAAATCAGTAGCAAACAGGACATATTTTACCCAAAATCCGTTTTGTAAGTCAACATACTGCTTCCAAGACTGAAGTTCCAATAAACAGTATAACAGGCTCACACGTTGTAATCCCATTATCATTTGTACTCCACTTTTATTGATTGATTTTACACTACTTTCACTTTCCATTGAACGAAAATCGAAAATCAATTTTCTGTGTCTGGCATTTACCGTACATAGGCGTCGGAAGCAAATTGAAAGTAGAGGGGGGGGGGGCTAAATGAAAGTGGGGGCTAAACTAACAAAAAAGGTAATCCCAATTTTCAATGCCTATATTATGTATATATTTGTATAAAAAAAAAAAAAAAAAAAAAAAAAAAAAAAAAAAAAAAAAAGTGGGGGGTTAGCCCCCCTAGCCCCCCCCCCCTCGGTACCTGTGCCTATGCCGTATATACTCTGTCGTATATATCTATTGTTCATATTATTACAATGCTTCTAATAAGCAAACTTATTCCAGTGATTCCTTCTAGTTGACAGCTTTAACTTATCATGTCATCTATAAAGCAGACTAACGTGCTCTTCGAAAAAACTTTGCCCGTCGGCTGTATGTCGAGCTATCCGAATGTTATAAAAATCATTGATACCATTATACTGTTATACATGTAATAGCGCAGGAATATGTGCTGCATTTCCTTTTGCTTTACCTGACACCATGTCTTATTTTAAAATAACTGATGGTAACTGATCTCGTGCATGAAACTAAGCCCTTTGATTATTTTTTCTTCAATATAATTTACAATGTAAATTAAATTCAATTCAAGCAGTGAAATTCAACAATATATTTTCACGAAACAAAAGTGATTTGTTCATTCTGTGTAAAATATCAAAAGTGTTGAAAAATAAAGGAACACAAATCTCGTCAATAAGAATGCGATAAAAATTGCTTAATAACCTGTAATAAGATAGGAAGAAAAACTAAGAATGCCATCCTGAAAGAGACACAAAACTGCAAGGTTTCTACAAATTCTTGTTAAAATACATGTTAACAATTTTTATTATATATGTCTAACAACATGCTCATCAGTGGCGGATTTAAGGGGGGGGGGTCGCACCCGGCGCCCCCCCCCCCCAAAATTGTCAAAGTTAGCATAAAACATAGTTTTTTCGAGAAAATGTTTAAAATGTCTTCTCGGTGGACCTCATTTTTACCCTACAAAACCTCTAGAATCCATGAGCTTCCGGGGGCTTCGCCCACTGGGCCCCCACCAGGGCTTTGCCCTGGACCCACTGGGGGTCTCGAGGCGGCCCCCAAACCCCCTGCCTAAATCTGGCGCCCCCCTAACTTCAATTCCTGGATCCGCTTCTGCTCATGATCAACTATGTTACAGCTGTAATGGAATCTACGACACCACATTACGAAACACACAGCTAGATAAAAGGAAAATCAAAAGCAATATAGGAAATAGAGAATGCAATGTTTTAAATCTGGGCTTTTTTTATTTCACATTTGAGGCAGACTTTTAATTTTTTTTTTATTATGCATAGCGCTCAAGAATGTTTATTTGCAAAAGATCCTGCTACACTTTTGAAACACTCCATATTCAACTATAAAATATAAATCACCTCCTTTATATTGTATATTCTTTTAAAAGTAAAATATACACGTTTGTGAGAAGTTTTTTGTTATATTCCTTATATACTCAAGTTAATATTATAAGACTCATAATGTTGAGAAGGACATTACAATCTTACAGTCCACCTTAACTTAGGCATATATATTCATTTAAAGAATTCTTTGCAATGTTAATTTAATTAAACCTTCTGAAATTCGATTAAAAGGCTTAAGGCTTTCATTATTGCGACATTTATCAAAATTATAATTAAATGAATTCATGATATTGAAAAATAATGTAAAGTTTTCAACATTTATTTCTAACTCGAAGTATCGGTAAAATTGAAACGCAACATGATTGGTGCACGAGGATGAATCGGGAAAAGCACATGTAAGACCTGAATCGGTAAGAATTTTGAAGGTACAAATCGAATTAAGTGTATGAATGAATTTAAAACATTATTCCATATTTCAGACGTGCGCGTTCTAACCTGTTCTGCAACGATTTCTTTGATGAATTTCATATAAATAAATATTATTCTGTTAATGTTGTAATCAAACAAATTTTATTTTTTGCAACTTTAGATTTCAATTTTTATCTTAATTCCTCTTTCTGTTAATTAGACGAGGGTTTTGCCTTACGGCTTATAGATTTCTAAAAACTTGACTGATTCTTTTTTGGTAAAATACGAAAAAAAAGAACGAAATTAAATTTATCCCGAGTGTACGAATGCATATTATCCTTATATGATCGAAGTATATTTCAATCATTATTACCTACATCCTGTAAACTTTCGATGTCACTCTTCCTTGAATGTTGAGCTGTGCACTAATTTTTAAGTGTATGCAAACCTGTACCGGATAGGAAAATCCTTGTTAAGTGTTGAGTTTTTTTTCCCTATACTCTAAAGACCTTTTTTAAGTAAGTTTACTTTTAATGATGATGTTTTCATTTGTGTTTTAATTTTTTTAATTAGATAAAGTATATACAAACGATATGAATTTGTTTTGCATAATTCCACTATGGTACATTTAACTTTGCAAGTCTTAAGAATTGAATGAATGAAATAAATCGAAAGAGAGAAGTGACTGAATATTTATTATGACACTTGTGTCAAATTTATATATATTCTCCCATCCTTTGTTGTTGGATATGATTTTTATTGAATTTATTCTGCGTTCTCTAACCCCTAACCTCGACGAGGAGATACAACACACGCCAATTTCGATGAAAATATTATATAAATTAAAGATTTTTTTATAAGTGTATATCAAGTTTACTTTATTTGACTCAAATATTTTACCTTAGAAAACGTGACGTCAAAGCTATGTCCACTGTTGGACAGACGGTGGTGTGTGGGGGGGGGGGGGGGGGGCATACAGACACCTGATGAAATGACCCTAAAATTCACTCTCTTCTGCAGGCGATGCAAAAAATAGAAACGTCTCCCGCTGCATTTGTATGTTCCTACGTAATAAAACACATCAGGCTTATCTCCTTAACTACATACAGAAAAGGATACGTAGTTAAATAATCGGCTGAAATTTGGGACTATTTCGACAATGTTGATATGCCTGGGTTCGAAAAAATGTCACAGGATGGCGTACAAGCGAAGTATATTGTCCCTGATTATCCATCTATATCTTACCCAAACTTTCACTATCTAATGACAGGTTTGATGATTTTTTTAAATTTCTCTTCAGTTTGTAATATATTAAATATACTATGTATTGATTTACAGAAAAGAATGTCTGTACATACACTGTTCTTTTATTATATCACTTTGTTTAATTAACTACAGATCTCACTCTGTTCTTTCATTAAAACATTGAGATTTTTTGGTAAAATAAACAGTTCTATTTAATTTCAGATCCAGAATGTCTGCATTATTTAATTTAAGGTCCAAAATGTCTGCATAACCCGTGTAGAATTGTACAGAAATTGTCATAACTTAATATGCACATGTACAGGTATAAGAAACCCATTTATCCTTATGAAAGCTATTTTTTCTTCTAACTTACCAAAGGGTCGTCGTACGTTAAACAACCTGTCAACTACATGTAAATCAGGACGTATTTCTTAAAATTGCCTTAATTAAATATATTTCAGTACTGAATTTGATAAGCTGATTAAAGTGCAATATACAATTCAATGCATATTTAAGATTGATTTAGGTCTGCATTGTGAATCCCATGGAATGGTGGGGAATTTTATGTATGACACAACGTATGATAAAAACTTTCTTATTGGTCTCAATCCCGACCAAAGCCTTCCATTTTGGTGGAATGATGCAGAGCCATTATGGGTGACAGCAGAAAAACAAGTTTGTTTTTTTTTCTTTAATTTTTGCGAGTTTACATTGAAATGTGAATATGATTTAAAATACAAAATGAATTTTTAAGTACCATCGTCACTGTTTGTTTGATATTATACGTGCAAAAACTGAATAGAAGTGTATAATTATGTATTATTATAATACTGACATCTGTTACATGTAAACAACATGAACAACGGTGTAATAATATCATCAGAATACAAACACCCGGCCTATTGGACCTATATTTCACCTTTTGAGAAACAATAATACATAATCTAACTCTAATATACATCTCGTGATCATAACTTAAGGAATAATTGCCTGGTTTATATATCAATATATTTTGCCCCCCAAAAATTGACCAAATTTTAGATTAACTCGTTAAATCAAAGTACTCAGAAGTACAGAGAGCCGGGCTCATTTACAGAGTAGAATGGATTTCTTACATGAATCACGTTTATATTCTGATGAAAAAATTATTTTAAAACTATCAATATAAATGATAAGACAGTGAAGTGAGTTTTTCAATCCTAATACCACGGTCCGATTTTGTCAGAATCAGAATTAATCTGGTACCGCAGCTGAATGTAAACAAACAGGCCAGTCTCGTTCCCTCTCCTGCTTTACCTCACATGTGTAGAGAACTACGGTAACACTGATTATCAAAAATCCTTACGCTAATGAACTATGTTCTTTGACTTATGAAGTTTTCAAAGTCATTACTACTAATGTTTATTTTATATAGATAAAACTTCGTTTTATTTTTGTTGCTTTATTTAGCGTTTGTATTATCTCAAAAGCGGTTGAGAGTAAGAACTATATTTTTGCACGTAACTTTGAAATGGCGACTATGGGGTTAACATCCTGCCTTGAACAGGATCACATAAGCCGGCAATTGCTCTTTGAGCAATAAGCCCGACTAAAAATGATGACAACCGTTCTAACCATAAACTGTTATATTGTCAACTTTAAATAAATAAAAGAATTTGACTCTCCCTTGTTATCATAAGGCATAAATTGACCACATGTTTTAAAATAATTATACTTTACATTAGTTTCTAAAATTGTAGGGAAGAAAATCATATATGTTTAACTTGCCAGGCTGCGACGCGACAATACAGGGAGTGACACCTACATATTGTGAAAGGTATACACGTGCTACACTGGTCTCCGATTTTGAATACTCGCTCCAGCAAACCATGGAACTTCTTAAAAACAATACAGCTGATCTGATAGGTAACTTTTGTGCAGAATCTTCATCGTTAAAATGTATTCAATAATTACGATATACATGTGTATACAACGTAAAATTCAATAACAATGTTTTTTAATTTCGATATTTCTGGGGGGTTTTTTTTCAGGGATATACTTAGAAGTAATAGATTTGTTTGGACATCGTTATGGTGTAAATTCATTAGAATTAAATAACATGCTGGAAAAAGTTGATAAAACTTTGGGTAATTTTCGACAAAATTTGACGTCATCTGGTCTTGATAATGACGTAAATTTGATGATTTTCTCTGACCACGGCATTATCAACACCACAAAGATAGTAAACACTACCGATTCAGTAGACCTTACAGACATTCAAATAATTTTTCAAGAGCCGTCTTACGTTACAGTTTGGCCAGAGGAAGGAATGACTGAAAAGGTTATACAAGTTTGCAATATTCTAGAAAGCTTTTACTCAAAACAAGCGAATTTTGTAAATCCTTTTAAAATTTTATACATATTCTCATTTCATTTTTAGAAAGAACTTCTTAAAAAACTTTTCAAAACAAATAGTCAAAGGGGTTATAAAGAATAAAAAAAAAAATCAATCTGGATTTTTAAATATATGTTTATCACGTTCATTAAAAATGGGAAGATAAGAAGTAATTTCTTGAGGTTGTTGTAATATTCTTCATTAACCATCTGGTATAATATACATATTTCTGAAGATCAAGGATTTTAATATTTGTGTAATTTTTTTTATTCTGTTCATTCTTATGATATGGACAAATTAACTTTATAAAACTATTAGATTAGGAACACATTTATTTTTTTTCCAGGTATACAACGACCTAATGAGGTCAAATAAACCGAACATCACAATCCACAAAAAAGACTCACTTCCTGACCGTTATCATATAAAAAATCATAGACGTACTGCACCTATTGTTATAGACCCTGACAACGGAGTGGCTGTGATTTCTCCATGGAAATGTAGCGAATGCGACGTGAGTACACTGTAACTCTAATTTTTTGGTTTACGGCTCTTGCGCATAGAGCTATGTTTTTAAGTTACATGTATTAGATGCATGTTTATTTTATTTATGCTTATGTGTACCTTAAAGTTTTTTGAAGTTTTTATTTCAACCTTTTGATATCTTATGCACTTTTTTACTTATAAACGCTCACCATATAGTTTTGAGTATTTGCTGTAGGTTTAAGGTAAATATTTTTTTTTATTAGTCATGTAATCTTGTCAGTAAAATTTTTATGTTAACAGGTTATACCATCGGGTACCAAAGACATAGGGATCCATGGATTCGACAATTTATTTCCAGAAATGCGAGCTATTTTCAGAGCTACAGGACCAGGTAAATTTCTAAAATAATGCGCATATTTTTTTTTTTTAAATCGTATTTGTTTTTAAAAAAATATCTTGAGAGAAGTTTGAGTTGTACGTAACTTTATTTAATTATATAACTTTATCCCAAAGAATGAAAATGAAAAGAATGCTGTTATTCTGCTTAATGTTTTTGTGTACATTTTCCAGCATTTAAGAAGAACTATAAACATGGACCACTAGCTAACATAGAACTTTACCAAATTATGTGTAACATTCTTGGGTTAAAGCCAAATGCACATAACGGAATATGGAATAACGTTAAATTTATGATAGCTAAGGGATCACAATTCCACATCTCTTCATTTATTGTAGTTTTTTTTATGTAATTTTTACCATTTTTGTGCTTTTTAGACAGTGTTGATGTCAAAAATATTTTGAAATAAATAAATCTTAGTAAATTAATATCATTATTATTGTTAAAGCTTTGTAATTATATAATGAGGATATATCGTTCTTAAATGCATGGATTGATAAACATAATTATGTGTTTGAAAGATTTGAGCTTTTTGTAAGTCTTTTCATACACTGTAGAATTAATGGTGTCTTCCCACTTAGCCAACATTTAGAAAAAATAAAGGTACAACACAGGTAAATCTGTGTTGGCTAAGTGGGAATGGGGTGCAGGTGGAGAACAAAAGAAATTAATTACAGGTAGGCTATAGTCTGTTTTAGCTATAGGCTGAATAAATAATAAATAATTCATATAAGAATACTAGTAATAGAAAATAATTAAATGTTTTCTTCTCATAAATTAAATATTGAATAGTTCATATAAAAAAAATTAAACATTTTTTAAAAACTTTTTAAAACAAAGATTTTTTTTAAATATTTCATTATTTTTAACACTCACAGTAATGAATAAGACATAAACTTTCCAGAAAACAGTTTACATCTCAAAATTTGCATGATTTTGATTTTGTAAATTATTGATGATAATTATGCTCATCTACCTTATATCCTTTGAAAACATTCAATAATAATCATTTATAAAATAATTATCTACTTAACTTGTTTATTGGTAATGTTATGTAGAAGCATTTTTACTAGTATAAACACAACCATTTTTAATAATTATACATAAACATTTAATTGTTTCTTCAGAGTGTCTTAATTGTTTTTGTTTATTTTCTAAATAAATATGCTGTGTGGTAAAAAAAATCTTTCTTTTTTTCTTTATTTATTCAAATGATATTAAGATTCTATTTATTAACTAAAACTAATTACTTTTTTGAATTAATTAATTTTCTCGTAAAATTTTACTACTTTTTTACATTAAAAATTATTGAACTTTATTTTTTTTTCTTTAATTTTATATTTATTTTGACTCAAATTTTACCTCTGGTTGGTATATGTTTACATTGTTTTCATTTCCCAAAAGAATTAATTCTCAGGTAATTCATATACATGCATACCAGAAAACAGACTATAGCCTGTTAATCACTCAGGTGTAAAAATAAAAATGTTGGCTATGTGGGAATACGATTTTTCAAAATGTTGGCTAAGTGGGAATAAACCGAATTAATATACAGTTAAAACTGTAAACATGCATGAAACATATGGAGATGACAAAACGTATTCAAGATAGAAAAATCATAAAACATAAAATAGGACCGGGAAAGAGGGACCTGCAAAATGTGAAAGCGTTGCAAAAGCAAATTTTATTTCAGTTGAATCAAAGCTTAGTCTATTTTCTTATACGTTTACAATGTAAGAAATCGAAATCTAGAGTTGAAAAAAGTGTTTCTATAACCATTGTGTTAAAAAAAATTCAACAGCCTAACGTGTTGCCTATGTCACAACGTCAAAACGTAATAATCTGCTTTACTTTAGATTTTGAAAAATGCACAATTTAAAAGCATTATTGAAAGGGATTTTTAATATTTTTACACACAGTGATGGAAAATTTGTTATTAAGAAATAAATTTAAATGCAACACAAGTTGTAGTGGTATAATCTTGGTGGAACAGTCAACGCTTTTTCACGGTTTATAAACCAAGGATATACCATTAAAACTTGCGTAACTATTAAATGAATTTCCTAAATAAGTGGGACAAAAGTTGTTGATTTATGAGAAAATAAGTGTTTATAAAGATGCAATTACATGCAAACAGACAGGTAAATATTTCTGGTTGGTTGCAAATAAAACGTCAAAATCAGTATTTGAACTTCAAATGAATATTATATCATTTATTTGAATAATCTATAATTCATGATTAGTACTGAAATAGAAAATGTTATGAATACAATTTAAAGATGATGTATAAAAAGTTAACCATGTCAAAAATTCTAACTTATAAAAGATAAGTACTGTACTGAAAATTAATTAGTCATTCAGCAAAGGTTGCAATTGCAGGCATTGCATTGATTATACACATGTGTCAGGGTTGATTCGAAAGCTCGTACATGTACATATTTATTTTTAAATGTAGCCTTTTTTATTGACACTCAACTGGTAGACATTGTTGTTACATTCATTGATACTGTGGTGTCATTTGCTAATTTAAAAGCATCAGGAAGCGTATGGAAACCAAAGATGGCCTCTCCCCATGTCTCTGTCCCTATGACCAATACCAAAACAGCTAATATATTCAATGGAAATCCAGCTACTACCTACAATAATTCATAGAGTCATTCAGTTGAGGAGTTATATATGTTTTATCGATAATATACAATTATAGACTCTTTGTGTGTTGAGTATGGTTTGTTATTCACCAGAAAAGTATCAATATTGACCGAGACGAAAAAAGTCCATAATTGTTGTATTATATAGCCTGAATAGGAATAAATAAGACTTGAAGACTGATGACACCATTTTCATTTGCGAACTTCCGTTGTTGAATTTTTTTTTAAAATCTACATATCTATTTTCGTATAAACCTTAATTTGATGGATGAAAAGTGATATTTATATAATCTCTAAAATTAACGTCCAATGCTTACCATGTCTAGAGCTCTGATAAAACCATAAGAAAAGACAACTGCGTTAGGCGGGGTGGCGACAGGTAGCATAAAAGCAAATGATGTAGCAATGGCCGTAGGAAACATGAAGTATAGTGGGTTGACTTGAAGAGTTATTGCCTGAATATTAAGAGGAAAACAAAAATAAATATATTTTAATAACGCCCGATTTGAATCTTAATGGTTACTTCAGAATTTTGACAGTGTTTATAATATGTCTTTGTTTTGAATCTAGAATAATTTTCCTTTCAAAATTGACGAATCAAGCTACATGCATACGCAAAGTAATATTTACCAGTTCTTTCATTATAGGCATCATCAATGTACAAATAGCAATGTTACTTGTTACTTCTGTTGCCGCTGCAACCATTAAGCACAGAACGAGATTCATTACCCAAGGCTCAAAGTCTTTAAACACGGACAATTGTTCTCCAATCAGTTTTGACAATCCAGATACCTATATCATTTAGAGAAAGAATGTTCAGTATGATATTACATTTAATTCAGGGAAAGGACAGGTGATATTTCTGGAAAATAAAATATTTTTGGAGCTATTTTGGTTCTAATGAAAATTAAATATCAAATTTCTAAAAAAGGAAATCGATGGATACCTGTTATAAAAGGAAAGTAGCGTTTATGATTTTCTTTTGGGAATTTAAGCCACAAATACGTATCCCACAAAATTTATGATAGAAGGTGTATAATGGAACATTGGAATAAAGAATCTGTGAAAATCTCACTGTTAAAAGAGAATAGTAGCGAATAAATAATTGCTTCCTCCATGTGTTTCATGTATAAAGAAGGAGGTAAGAAAATACCTAAGGACACCCCTATCGCCAATTACCCTCCCCTTTTTACGTAGTGGTATGACAGATTAGCTTCAAAAACATTCTTAAGTTTCTTTTAATATTACCTTGCTTCCTTTAGCAATAGCAAAACCTCCTCCAAGCAATAAAACTACACCCCAGGGTAAATTCTTTTCAGCTGCTTTCCATGGAAGTAGAGGTGGTACTGGTTTCTCTTTTTCTGCAAGTACAATTATATGTTTAGCTAACGTTATATGTTAATATGCAAATTTCAGTCGGTCAAAAAAAAACACAAGGAGTTCATATAGAGTTTTAATCACATCCTTGAATTTTTTATATTGCTCTACAGCATATTTCAAAAATGCCAAAATACTTGACAGGTTTATTCATTACGTTTCTCTCCTTTATTAAATGGAGTAAATTAATGCCAAAAAAATTTCTTTAATTGTTTGCCTTACCTTTGAATTTGTGTGGCAAAACAGATGGAAAGAGACTCATTGCAACAAATATGGCTGGTGTGGAATCAGTCACTGTTCTAAAATTGAAGTAATCAAACACAAACTCTATATTGATCTTTTCTGCTAAGAATTAAATGGCATATAAATGAATTGTACTAAAATTATATCAATGGCTTAGTTTGATTACAAAACAGATAAAGACCATGCAAGAAAATGCAACGGCAAATTCAAATGTATACCTGTACGAATAATGAAAGTAACAATCACTTTTCAGGAAACAAATCTCCCCATCTTAGAACTCCACCTAATTTTCTGGTGACCCACAACAGTGCCAATACAATGAAGTGTACAATAACTGCTCCCTGTCCAAAGCTTCAATGAAAAAGAACACGATGAGCAAAATTATACAATTCTATCTATTACTTTAATAAAACTTAAACGTACGTTATTGGTCCAAGTTCTTCATACTGTTTCCTTATAACTTCCTTTACTCTTGAAACCTGTCCAGGGGATATTCGATTATAAGTTCTTGGAAAAGCATCTAATTTTAAAGCAAAATATAATTTAATTTGTTGACATAACTGGGACTTTTTTCAATTTTGTATACATTCCAGGTATATTAACAAAACAAACTTACTTGCAGCGTAAGAATATAATCTGCAGAAACACCCACACAAGAATAAAGAGGATGGCTGATATTGGTAAGCAGTACTGCATCTATGTTGCAAAAGAAACAGGAGATGTTGTATTTTTCTCTTCGAAGGCACTTCGAAAGATACGATGCCTGAACATCTTTATGTGAAAATACACAAGTACATATTAGAACGCTTTAGAACTCTTAGAAGAAGAGTTTTTATGATAATTTAAAATGAAAATTCATTACTGCCCTTATCAGCCAATTTACTTATTCCGTCTCAGAAAAAAACTCACTTTAAACTCCAATGGACCATACCTGCCAATGGGGCAATATATTTTATCTACATTATTGCTAATAACAAAATAAACATAACATAACCTAATAATATTTACAAGTCTTTTAAAAAGATATGATGTTCGATAAAAGCAGAGAGGATGAAAAATATTTTGTTAAAAGTCAAGTAATTGTGCTTACATATCAGAAGCTCCACACTTGGTCCTGTTCCAGTAGGGGTAGCCATCCCCCCACAATTTGCAGAATAAGCTATCCCAAGAGACAATGCTTTACACATACATGAATACTTTGCCTGTTCTCTCTTTTCGCTGCTTCAGGGATAAATACAAGTACTACAATATGTATATTTGTAAATAAATATAATGCGCAAGCTTCAGTTTCTCTAAAACTGAGCGTCGACACGTCAATATTGATTTTAGCAAGGGTCAATGTATATTTGCATGAACTCACGACTTGTGTCCTGTGTCTTCGTCCATGCTTTCAGAAAGATTTAAGGTATCTTTTTCGCCATTTTTTACTACAATTTTTAGTTCACCATCCCCATCTTTCTGATCAAATTCTGATTTTCATATATATAAAAAAACATTTTATCGAAACAAGCCACGACGATGCCCTTACTATGAGTATAATCAATTGAGTAGTTAGTATTTTCCAACTGACTGAAGTACATATGAACTAAAATAATTCAAAGGAACGGATCTTTTTTTTTTCTTATACAAAGAATGACATGAAATGTTCAAAAGGAAAAAAAACTAAAACCACATATCGATACCATTTGATAGTTACCAAAGGATATAATCGAGTTTATTCACAAATGGAAAATAATATGCGAAATGTTATCCAACCATTTAATTTGAAATGTACAGTTTATTATGAGTAGATATGACTATTATTATTATGTAACTCGGTACAGCATAAGGCCATTTTTGAAAAATATGTTTGGTAGCCCTATCCCTATCCAAAGCGACTGACTAAAATGGTCTGACTCATTTTCTTTTTTTTTACATTCCAGGACACGATATATTTTCTTTTTATTCTTCTTATCGCATCAAAAATGTGTTGAAATTTTCAAGAAAAAAGATTTTTGAATTATTCCTACCTACCTACCTACCTACCTATCTACCTATCCGGAATGTTTTGGGACACACAAAAATGATCGATACTAATTACATTTTCAGCAGTGATATACTGAAATTTATTTATTGAATAAAAATGATCAAAGTGTGAAAGGACATAATTATACCATTTTGATATTCTAAATAAATATTTTTAATAACAATAGTTTTAATTTTAAAAAGAACAAAAAATGATTAATAAAAGCAAGTCACTTTTAAGTGAAACGCCTGCCCATTCTTTCATCATCTATCGATGTATAGTGCCAAATTTGAACTGTTTAATTGGACTTTGTTATACCCCGGTAATTTAAAAAATGTTCATTACTGATTTATTTTAAATTGATGTATTATTTCAAATGATGGTTATTGCTAATCAAAAAGATATGAAGCAGTTTAAGCTACTCCTATAGGTTTACATATAAATAGTATATTTTGGAGACATATACCTCTTTAAATATTTGTATAACTTTGTCTGTCAAAGTTTTTATATTTGATTTCCTCAAAATTACATTTTGTAAGTCGCTCAAGCTGCGCAGTGGCAAGAGCGTCTGCACTAGAATCGCGAAGTAGCATGTAAGGAGTGGATCCTTACTTCGCGGGTTAGAATCCCACGGTGGGACTTGAAGAGTGGCCCTTCGAATGAGACCTGTGTCGCAGTGGATGTTCGCACGAAAAAAGATCCCTTTCTGCTCAATGACCATGAATGCCGAGTATAGGACAAAATTTGCAGCTCTCCACCAGTAAGTGGTTGCATCTCCATATAAGTGGGAAAATTCTCGAGAGGAACGTTAAACAACAGACAAACAAACAAAAAATTTCGTCAATTTCTTTGCTATTTAACTTATGAAAACAAGAGATGTCTGTAAAACACTTATGCCCCCCCCTAAATTGGATTTTTCAAAGTCCAAAAAGGCATGCATAACTCTGTCAAAAATGGCGCTATCGTACCCAAAACAGAACTTGACCTAGATATTTATCTGATAAATCTGTATACTAAATTTCATTTTAGTATGTGCAATGTCTGCAAAGAAAATGAACGGAAACTGCAATTAATTGGAATTTTTCTAAGTCCAAGGGGCATAAGTCTGTCAAAAATGGCGCGATCATACCAAAAACAGTATTTGTCCTAGATAATCATCTGATATACCTGTATACTAAATTTCATTTCAGTATGTGCAATGGTTATGAAGAAAATAAACGAAAACTAAGTGGAACGACAGACAGACAGACCGACCGACCCAATCGCATCATCTCGGGTCTTTCCGTCAGAGGTCGGAAAAACAACCTCGAATGGATGTTAAAAATTTATACATTTCCTGTTTAGTCAAATATAGGAGAGACGGAGTTAGAAGTCCCTTCTACAGTATATTTTAGGTAATATCATTATATTGAATTAAGTTAAACTTCATAATCCAAAGATAAAAGGTCTCCATGCATTTATTTCAAAGATTGTGAAAGAGGGTTGTCATGGCGTCTACCATATACATTCGAGGTCGTTTTCCGCTATAGTCGGAAAGGTCAGAGAAGTTGCGACCGACACACAGCAGCAAAGCAATATGCCCTCCCTTCTTCGAAGGGGGCATAAATATATGAATATCAATAAAACAAATGATAAACATGCATCAAATAATATTAGTATTTTAGAGATAAAGATACGAAAATAATGTTCTTTAACATCCCACTCGAGAATTTTTTTCGTTCATATGGAGACGTCAGCGTATGAAGGGCTTCAAAGAAATACGCACGCTATCTCTCGATTCCTGCCTACATTTTGGAACCATTTAATTCAATAGAAATAGCAATTTGGCCATAAAATCTTTGTTTAATACAAAGAACAGTTCAATGGTAATTGATAAATTGTCTTAATACCAGCGCTTAACGGTAAATTATTCATAATTCCAGCTCTTGAAAAAAGGGGGGTATACGATATTTTCCATTGAAATCGGAGTTTCAAGCATCACCATATTTAGAAATAGTCTTGGATATGATTAAATGTTCTCTATATCTTTTCTTATGTCTTAGACAAATAAATAAAACATAAATATACCAATAAAATATAATGTTTAAGTTGTAAATTGCTTTGAAATTGATGGAAAATAAGCAATCATTTTTATCGTTTTTTGTCAATAAACATGTTTCCCCCCCGTGTCACACAAAAAGCTTTGGTATGAATTTGTGAAATAACATTCCATCTTACCTGTAAGAAGGAATTTTTGTGACACGGGGGAGGGAAAGATGTTTTTAAAATATTTTCCGTTTTCCGTTGACTTCTGTAGTGAAAAACAAAAGTTTTACCAAAATTTTAAAGTTATCTCTCTTTGCTTTCCCAAATAAGTATTGTTTTATGAAAATCCGTATAATTATCTACAAAATATATCAAAATTTCATCGAATATGTTAACTTTTGAAAATTGACTTAGAGAACAATACTATCGTTCGCAGTTATTTAGACCTTTACTCGGCACTCAGGGCCATTGAGCAGTTAGGGTTCTTTATCGTGCCAGCGCCTACCGTGAGACGGGACCTACGTTTTGATCTTCATATCCGAAAGACCCATGACTTTCACTTCTAATGCCGAGCGTTTAGTAAAGGAACAGTCTCTACCTATGTTTACATCATTGGTTTGACGCGGCGCCGCGAACGAGAATCAAACCCTGGCGGAATCGATCACGAAGCGAACGCTCTACCACTGGGCTACGTGACCGGTTTTAAAGCTGAAGATAACGAACCGTGATTAATCTAAGAAAAAAAATCTACAAATAATGCAAATATGAAAGGAAGACATAAAAAATTAAAGACCCTGGAATCTACAAAGGTGCGATCAGGTGCCTACGAAAAGTAAGTATCCCCTCTTGACAAGTCACACCTGTCAAACAGCGTCACGGCGTAGTGGACAACGGACGTGTTTTCGCTGTCCTCCGATCGACTTGACATTTTTCGCTAAAGAAGCGTTTATTTTCTTTCTACGACTGTTTGGAAAGAAATATATTGTGTGTATAGTGTATATAAAGTGTGATTCTTTGTGCATTTACTGCATGTTTGGGATTTAAAATACTCTGAGAGAGCGAATATACCTGGTGTTTACCTGGTGAGTACCTACTCAGGTGTGATATTGACTCACGAGCAGAATTCTATTTACACTTTGTATGCATGTGTTATAACTCAACACATTCTATATCGAATATTTGAAAAATGGATCAAATGCTGAAACCAGTATACTTGAAGAACAACGAGCTTCTATCTGAAAGCGATGATGAACGAATCACAAATTTTGAGATGCTTCAAGCTGTTACTTCGTGCGTCGGTGATGCGGTGAAATGCATCCAATTAGACCGCGATTTGTGGCGAATATATCTGACCAATGCCCACAGCAGAAGTAAAATTCTACTGGAAGGTTTCGATTTTAAAAATCAGCACATATCTCCGTACGACACAAATCCATACTCCGCCGGCCCGGAAGGTCCAAGAGATCAAGCTTTAAAAGTAACAATATGCGGCGTTCCCCTATCCGTGGACGACTCAGCGATACACGAGATGTTAACTAAACTAGGGGTTTCTCCGAAAAGCGATCTTAAGTATGAAAAGATCCGTAACCCGACCAACAACAAAATGACCAACGTCCTGAATGGGAACCGGTTCATCTACATCGATCCTCCATCAAAGGGACCACTTCCCCGATTCTCTTATTGCGCGGGCCTAAAATGCAAAATATTTC